AAAGACTGGGGCTAGCCTAGGTCAAAGCCAGAAGTCTTCCCCAGAGCATTTGGGCTATCCTTCATTGATTTCACAGGCACATTTGCAGGGAACTGGTTTGGAACCACAGCAACCAGGACTGGAATTTGCACCTGTACATGATGCCAGCACTTCAAGTAGAAGCCCCAGTATACACCACAGCAATGGCCACAAGAAACAGATTTTAACTGCAGCTACTTTGCTGAGGTGGCAGCTCTTTATTAATGTTTCTTTGCTTCCCTAACACAGAGAAAGTTTCAAAGGAAAAATATTCACAAAATAGAAGTAAATGTATGGCAAATCATTAAGTTGCATACCTCCAGAAGAACCCTCACTGGGGAACTATTTGAGTCACCAAGGAAAGAAATATTTTCTAAATAATGTAAAACTATGTCTTTCAGACACTAAAGTGAACTTTTACAAGGCCAGTCAACAAAAGCAAAAAACCCCAAAATTGTTGAAAACTTCGATGGCATATTTTCTTATGTTTAATAAGTTGAGTCTGGGTTCAGCTGTAAATGCCTTTAAAAGATGCCTAACTGTAATAAATGCATTTCAGTTAATAAAAGAGCCATTAGAAATCTAAAGGGAAGCCTGGGAAGTTGCACATAAACAGGTTTTGATTATGTATATCATAGCTCTAGGGCATCTTTGAACATCTAGTAACATTATGGAATCTCTCAAGGTCTCATTCTCTAATAAAAAGATTGTAATTCTAAAAGTCAGGTCTTTGATTCGTTCCTAAATAAAGTTGGTCACAGGATTCTGAGCTCTTTTAAGTATGAACAAGTATCTTTCAGTAGCTCAGACAAGGAGAGAGCATACAAGAGCAAATGTCAAGGGCACGTTGCCTCTTCCTCATTCTCCAGCCAGCAGGTGTCATGAGAGTTCATTGGATACCTCTGTGTTCATTATCTCAGGCTGAAAATGAATGAACTCTTCTGGAAATTGATTATAATATCAGTTAAAATGTATGGTATTATTACTATATAACCAAAGTATTTAAGCATTTGAACTGAACTGCTGAATTGAGCTTCATCAAGAACAAAAGAAGGCATCTAAGTTAAGTGTAGTTATTATCTCAATTTTGGAGATTGGTAACCATTATTTAGAAAAACGAAGTCATTTTCTCATGTTAGGAAGTGGAATTAACTGGGATTTGTGTTGTGCAGATAATGTCATATCCAATAACCTCTACAATCAAACAGTTTCATGTGCTATGTAGGAAACACTATTGTCTTGGGATTTGGAGCCATTAGGTTAAAATCTGAGGTACAAACTGAGTTAGTTTAACAAATCCTTTGTTCATTTTCTCGGCTCAAATTTCCTCAAAACATAAAATAAGGTTTCTAACGTTTCACTTTAACTTTCAGGACTGCTGTAAAAATGAATTTTAAAATATTTTAAAAACACTCTAAAGCTCAACGTTAAAATGTATTTTCGTCAAATTTATATGTGTGCAATCAAGTGTTAGATACATATACATGTTCCCTGATTTTAGATTTGCGAAATTCAGTATGATAAGGGCAGTGACCAGAAACCCAATTTTAAGCGATGATAATTTATAGGCTTAAAAATTAGATACACTTAAAGATGTTCAATCTGATGATTTGATACGTGAACTCTGGCTGGGTGAACTCAGTCGCAGACCCTACCATCCTCCTGTGTGACAAATCCCATTCAATGAAATCCCATTCAAATGCAGGTGGAGGAGGTCCAGGAGGAGAGCAGTGCACTGGACCTGGGGCCCACACTGCTCCCCTGCCCTCTAACTCTGCACAGCTGCCTGATTCTTCAGAGTGCCTGATGACCTTACTTCACACAAATGCTTTAAAAATGGAAACCTAAGTTAGATTCACACCTCTTCAGGTTCGTGTTTCTAAGGTAATGAAAGCGTTACCTGGATCCCGATTCTAATTTTTCTAGGGAAACCTCTGATTGGTTCAGCCTTAACCAATTATCTACTCAATGCTTAACACTGTTAACATTTTGCAGCGAAAAGTCCCTCATTGGGAGGATGGAGGGAGTGGGAAAGGTTCTCTCTTGCATCACAGGATGTTTCGCAGTATTGTTATTGCCAGTGTTTCTTCCCTATCTGGTGATAAACAAAAATGCTCAGAAACTATCAAATATCCCCACCAGGTGAAAATCACCCACAGCTGAAAACACTGCCCAGTAACCACGCGCGGAGCGTTGCAGAGAACCAAGGTTCAGCAACTGAATCTGTCCACGGGGGTGGCTCTCGGAGAACTACCTACTGTCCTCAAAGCTGTCTGATAAAACAGTAAGAAACATTGGTGGAAATCATGGCATTGCAAGTTTGGGCCAGCATGAATTAAAACTTTCAGAACTGTGAGTACCATATGAATTGAAGGGAAATTTAACTTTCAATTCAAATTGAGGAAAATCCATTTATTTTTTTCCTATTTTTTTTAGTGCAGAAATCACTGCATTAAGATAAAATGGGGGTAAAGGTTGAATTTCCAACCCAACTTGAAGTGAAAACATACACATATGCAACTTCACACTGAAATTTGTTTTCTACAAAAGCACATAAAGGATGAGACACATGACAAAATTAACAGGGTAGTTTTCTTTACTAACAGTATATTAGTAAAAGGACAATATAGGATTTCTGGTTTGGAAAAGGTGGCACAGATTTGTTCATCCTTGCCAGCTCAGTTCTACAATCAACCTTGGAAATACTTGCAAGAGGCACATAAAAGAGAACTCTAAATAGTGCTGAGAGGTCAGCCTGGGTTTGGACAAAGTCCTAAAGTAATAACACAGCCATAGGGCTTCATATAACCCTCCACCCCTCAGAAAAAAGAGACCTGCCCCAGCATTTCCCAAACACAAACACATCCACTGCCCTGTATCTAACTTGAATCCCTCAGTTCCCAGGGGAATGAAAGGGGGTGTGGCTTAGATTCCACCATCCCACCGAAGTGGCTGCCAAGAGTAGCCCTCCAGGAAGCCTCTTTGATCTCTTCATAAAATAAAGTAAGTAGAAAGTTACTGAGTAAAAAATTCTATTTCAAGTTTGACACCTCACAATTTCTTTGCCATGAATTAACTAGTGGATGTCCTAACACTTTAGTGATTGCCATGGTTGTGTGTCCCCTTGTCTCACAGCCTTACAAGAATTATTCTTTATTTCAGAGATCTAGAATTCTTGCAAGCTTGCACATCAATGTCATCTTTGTATCGTCTACAAGTACTGTCTACCGTATGAACTTCTTTGATACTGAAATCATGTCTCCAAACAGTGTGGTGAATGAATCCAATGCAGTTAGTTATACAAGCTTACTTTAGAATTCTGCATAAAATCTCTGTCAAAACATTACTGCCATTAAAACATTAGTTCCATTAAATCAGTTAATTAAAATTTACTCTGAAATACTATTTCCCTTTAACTCTTTTATAAAGGTCCCAAACTTTGAGAATGCATTCTTCCTTCCAGGAGACAGAGACAGGCATTCAGACACGCCGCTGGCAGGGACAATTATCACAACCTGGGTGGGAGAACAGCTGCAGGCGAGTGAGCTCTATGTGAAGTGGAAAGCAGCCTGGACGTGGATAAAAACCAAGCTCACATGCAGAACACCGTGATCAGGCAGCAAGCAAGCAGGTTTCACAGGACCAGCAGAGTCAGATAAAGAGAAGAATGCCCAGGGTAAGAAGGGAAATAAAGAAATGCTGCTGTAAAGACTCAAGTCCCCAGCACTGCAATAGCACCAAAGCTCACCACAGTGTTTGACCCAAAAGTGGAGTATCCCCACTCGCTTGACCCAAAAGTGTTAAACATAGCTCAGGTCACTGGAAACAGTCCACCAGGCCCAGCCATGACTAATGGATCCAGGTTGGTCCCCCCTAGAGTACACAGAGGGTTACTCCCTTACCGCAAGTGGCTACTGAGTCCTCCCTTACCACAAGTGGCTACTGAGTCTCTGGTAGTCAATTCTCATTACAAATGAATAGCAGATACACTTGTTTATCATCCTATGAATTCTGTGTCTAGGAATTCATACTACAAATAATTCATATTCATAAATCTTCATTGAAAAAAAAATCAAAGAAACTGTGGCACAACATGCTGAGCATACTAACATTTCAGTAGAATAATTGAGGGTGACATATCCACATTTCTTTAGGTACCCATCTATTTTCTTTCAAAGAATATACCACAATAACCAATTGGATTGCTGACTATGGATGGCTGAGGGACAAAGGTAAGCCACGGGAGCATTATGTTCTTTTATGTTTTATGAATTTTGAAAATGACAAAATCCATGAATTTAGAAAAAAATTAGTGGTATCATCGATTACTGGGCACACACCTTTTCATACACATATTTTCTTTAGCAGCTAACAATAAAGCTATTATTTCGTATTTCTTTCATTGAAACAAACTCTAGTTTTAAAATATTTTACCAAAATGTGTGTCAAATTAACTTCACACTTAGTTCAAGAGACAATACACATTAAGGGCAAGTTGCATCATTGAAAAATGTGAATTTATGCCCGTAACTCACATACTGGCCATCCTTGTACCTAGAATTGAACCTGCCTTGTATAGAGAAGGACACAGCATCCCTTCTTTTCCTAATGAATGGTGATATTACCACTTGGGAAAGGCACTGAGATACCCAGTTGATGTGAAATTGAGTCATTATTATTTTGCACACATTTGGATTTCCTACACCTAGTGATGCACAGACATTGAAGTCAGAGCCACTATCACCACAGCTGTGCTGTTGAGATTATTAATCTAGAAACCACAAAGAAATAGAAGAAGCAATTACGTATTATGTGTCATTTGAAAGCAATAATATGAGGCAGCTTTCTTGGGAGGAAGTGAATCTATCAGAAAGAGGTAAAAATCTCATTTTGATGTGTCAGATGACCAGATATATTAAAAAAATCAATTATTAAGATTCCTTGGCCACTTCAAACCCACACTTTCTCACTTGAATACTTACAAGTCTGGCAGTGATGTTCTGTGGGTCCCCAGCATCGGCCAGTACAGGATTTATGACAACGCCCACCTGGAGAAGAGGAAAGAGAACAGAAAAGGTAACGCACATTATAACCTTATACTTTTTGACTGGTGGTAAATCCTCAAATGAAATATTCTTGCTCCTTTATAAGGACTTTTATGTTGTGTTAGGCTTGACTCATAGCCTGTAACATGCTCGCTTAAAGCGGCAAAACCTAAATGTTCAAAATATGTCAAATATAGGGATAATTTGGTACTCAAAACTCCTCTCAATATTTTATTAGAAAATTCAATAAATGAAATATGTGTCCCTTCTCAGAAATATGTAAGCCATTATTTTAAATAAATTCACTTTGACTACTGAACACTTTTATGGTCATAATTTCCAAAGCTCACAGATCATAGAAACTAACAGTTACTGAAAATTAAAGAGCAGGTACGTTTGCAGTAGTTAATTAGCTACTGGAGACATCCCCAGAGTGCCTGGATTCAAGTCCCAGTTACTGTAATTCCAGTGCAGCTTTCTACAAATGGAAACACTAATAGGCAGCAGGTGATGGCTCATTCCTTTGTCCCTGTCCGTCTTCATAGAAATCCAGGCTCCTGGATTTGTGCTGGGCCAGCAGTGCTGTTATAGGCATTGGGGAATTAACTGGGCAATGGACTCTATCTCCCTGCTAAGAGACTAGAAAAAGCAGTGGAAAATTGCCCAAACGTTTGGGTCACTGCCACACATGTGGGAGACATCAGTGAGGCTTATGACCGTCTGAGGAATGAACCAGAGAATATGTCTCTCTCTCACTCTTCCTCTCCCACTCTAAGCTCTCTCTATCACTCTTTCAAATACCCAAGTAAATCTTTAAAACGTTTAATTTTTTGAAAGCTTTATTTTTACCTATTTAGTATTTTTTTTCTAAAAATGTTACTGATACATTCTGTACTTTCAGGAATCAAACTTTACCCCCTGTAGTGGTAAAATATTGCATCTACTGTGGGTATATGTGGGTACAGGCCTTGATCAATGCTCCAGAGAGAGAAATTCCATAAGGAATCAGCCAAAAGACTGTTAGAAGAAATCATGGGAAATGATTTTATTCTTTAATTTCATAGGTCCACTCATAATATGCAGTTTCGAGAATTATGAAGAATTCCATATGCAAGGTATTTCTTCTACCAAAATTAATTTACCAGTAAATTTTATTTTCTATGAAACTTTTAGATGCATCTCATACTTTTTCTAAATTAAAACAATGCTAGGACTCAATTACAGCCAACTTAAATGTGTTGGGATCCTTGCTGTAATAGAGACTATTTAAAGCAATTCTGTTTGAAGCACTGTTGCTGACATCACCAGTGTATCATATCCTGTCACCGTACCATCTGTTTATTGAGATCTAAACACATTATAACTACATAATGCAAGCTCATTGTAGCTGACAGGAAAAAGACTCCATCTGGCCTGAACAATATAACTTTAATCAGTGATAATGATAATTATTATTAAAAACTTACTGGAGTTCCTTTATATGAAGCTAATAAATCTTAATTGATTTATACCAGCGGAAATTAGAAAGGACTGTAACACCAAGTGGAAAGCAGTGAAAACTTTTGGGAGTACAAACTTTTTATGCAGGAAGTAGCTAATGCTAAGGTGTTTTCTTAGATGTGATAGTATTCTTTCGATAGACTCGTTAAGCAGCCTGTTAATTGAAGATAGGAGAAGACTACCATGGTCTACCACTTCATCCATCACTTCTTTAATTTTGTTTAGGTCTAATAAAATATTTAGGTTTATTCTGTGTTACCACAATGTTATCTGGCTGGAAAGAATGAATGAAAGGAAAGCCTAAGCAGAATCAACAGACATTTAATGCTCTCAGTTTTCCCATCTGATTGGATTTTTTCTTTTTATAACTCTTTGACCTTGAAGTTGTGATTCAGCACTCAGAGAATTTCTACTAGACACAATAAAAAAGGCATATTACTGGAAATAATGTTTATGATTCTTCAAAATGTATCAAAGCAAATACTACATATTTGGAAAAAAATGGTAAAGTATCCCCCCATAAGTAAACACACACACATACACACACAAACACACACACACACACACACACACATAAGATGAATGAAATTGATATTGGAGAACTACTTGGTATAATGAGAGGGTTTATATATATCTTATATATATAATAAGAGGGATATATATATCTTTCATCTCTTTTAAACAAACGTCTTCATTAGTGAGATAAAAGAGGTCTGCCACAACTGCCATGCTTCCACGTAGCCCATCTTTCTCTTTCCCCTTGGAAGCCATGAGGAGATAGAGCATCACCTGGCCTCACATTTCTGAATTTGATTACCACAAAGGCACTGGAAGTTCTTGAACAGACCATATCCCACAAACGGTTGCTAGGCCAGCCCTGTCTTTGTGTAGTTTTTAGACTCCTACGGAATCTGTTAATTTGTTCAGTTCAATTTTGACTCTTCAAAATGGTATAACTTTGTTTTCACTGAATTATCTCAATTAAGTAAATGTCACAATATCTGATCTACATCTCCAACCAGAGTTATTTTTGAATTAACCCATTTACTTTAGTTTCAAGCTTATGACCTAAGTTTAATTCTTGTGCATAATTGGACAGTGTAGCTTTATAGAATATTCTTGCCCCATTTATTTGTAAAGTTCTTTTTAGTCTTTTTTTTTTTCACCATTTCTTCCATACAAAACTGTCAAGGTGATGATGCGGTAGAGGAAGGAGTTCTATTCTCCATCTATCTAGGAAAAACAATCTCTGCTTCTAACCTCCCCTTCATCCATTTATTCGTAATTATTTCATAAGCAGTTAATTTGTTCTGCGTAGAAAGAACTAAGTTAAGCATTGGAGATAAGTTTATCTAACTGAAACAGATATGGTGAACTTCATAGAATGAGAATTAATTCAGGATTATTTTGAAAGGAAGAGATTCTGACACTACTGAATCTAATGTTTAATGCTTCTGAAGTATAAACTAAGCCAGAAAATTTACATTCTTAAAAGCCCCCTGGCCTCCTAGACCTAACCAAGTTGAGCTAGATCATTCTAGTGCAATGCCTCATGGCTTGGATGCACACTGCATTCCTCAGACAACGATTTATCTCTGAAATCTAAAATGGAATCACCCCCAAGGACATTGGAGAGGAGAGGATAAGTTTAGCCTCTGAAAGGTTCCTGTTCGTCTGCCTCCTACAGAAGTAGGAATGCTTTATCTAGAGCTGAATGTCTTATTAAGAATTTTTCTTGCTGTTTTTCAGATATGCAGTATCTCTTCAGCAGACCTAATTTTATGAGGGAGACAGACCTTATACTTGCCTGTCATTGATATTATAGTGTGGATGAGCTTTATAAAGTTTATTTCCCATGAGTGTCCTCAATTTTTTTAATACAGTCAGTAAAGAGATTAGTCAAATACTACAATATGTAAATGAGAGCAATGTTTTGCCCAAATCTGCCAGTTTCCATATCTCAACTTGTTAAGCGATCTTCTGATTGTTTATTGCAATAACTTTTTAAAACTATGTGAGAAAATAATGTCACTTCTCGCTTCAAAATAACGAATCTTGTATTTCCCATAATAGCAGTCATTCATATTAATTCTCCCTGTCATGCTGACTGAAAGAGAGGAGATAATCAACACAACAAAATCTCTGTCATTTTTAACTGTTTTAATCTCTTAAATTACGTTCCACAAATCAGTGCCATTTTAATTTACAGGTAATCTCCTCTGTTTTGACAATGCAGTATTCATCATTCAAGTTAGAATGTAACCAAGTTCATCTTGTATGCTGGTCCAACAGATATAACTAAAACTTCAGCTTCTGCATTCTGTTTCATGGACTGGAATCCATGAGTCTCTTTTGTAATTTTAAGAGTCATAAATTCCTGCTTGAATTCTGCTTGTTCCTGTGACTGCCTATCAACAGAAATGGGATTCAATATCTATTGCTGTAATGCTTTCTGCAAGTGATACACCAGGACAGTTGAAGAGTTACACAATCTGAAGTCACCAGCTACCATAAAAGATGATATCCCCAAACTGCCTCCAGCCAACGTCAGTGCAGCTGCATTCCTGAATTGTACTTGCAGTCCTTTTAAAAACTGCTAGTCTTGACCTCTTAAAAATCCTTTTGCTGGGGGAGGACATAAGAGAATAGTCTTTTTCACGACCACATAATTCAAACAAGGGGAATGGAACATTTATTGAAAGTTTGTGTTAAACCAGTCCCTTTTCTTAGCAAAGGCATAAAAAGGATGAGTAAGCCAAAGCTCTGCCCTCTAGGAGTTTTTAGGGTCTAGGAATAGGTATGGAAATAGGCAAATAATCATTATTACTGTAATATTTCTTAAAATATGCTGTGCATTCAGAATAAAGGAGGGCAGTAAGGCTTACAGAAGGGTTGCCATTTCAGCTGTGCTTGAATCCTAGTTTGTACAGGCGAAGAAGAGAGGGAAGGACAGTTGCATTCTGAATGCAAATGGCACAGAGCCATGGATGAACACAGTCATTTGGGACCATAATGATGGTTTAAGGTCACTTGAGCACAGTTTGTGTAAGATACTGCAGCTGGAGTGCAAGTTCATTAAATATCTTGAAAACATTAATAACTGTGCGAGTTTGCCTTGTATAGGTAGTAATGTGTTGGCCAAGAAGTTTTAACACAGTCACAAATAGTTTAACCTGAAGGGTAGAAAAGATTTCAGGTCATCATCATTCCTAAAATTAACTGGTCATACTTTATTTTGTGCAAGGTGCTGGTTTTATTTTTCTGGGTGAAGCTGTAATTTTATTTATTATGCTTTTCTTAAAATAAAACAAATCAAACAAACAAACAAAAAATACTTGAGAAGCAGACATGGCAAGAAGGAGGGCGAAGTCAAGAGATCTGATTTCTAAATACATACAGTTACAGGACTGGCGTAGAGCTTGAAATAGGAGGTAGGAATTCAGTCTAGGTATTCCACCTACACAAAAGAATCTGATTACTTCAGCTATCAAAATACCTTCAGG